GATCTGCTTGTTAATGTAGGTGCATTCACATATCCTGTTGACTTTGTTATTCTGGAAATAAATGAGGATGTGGATGTACCTTTGATTTTGGGTAGACCGTTTCAAAAACCTATATCAGGTTATCACAATAAAAGCACATCAACAAGTTTCAAACATAACTTACTAAGCAAAATTGTTAACCTGTAAAGTAGGTCGCTACTAGCTCAGGGTATTTCTTTCGCATAATTGCTTCAATCTCCTAGGTAGCACTATCACTTTCTTGATTCCTCCACACAACCTTCAACATTGGAATTACCTTCCTACGAAGAGTCTTAATATGATGGTCAACAATCTGCATTGGCACTTCTTCAAATGTTAAATCTGGACCCAACTCGATCTCTTATTGTTGTATAACATGTGAAGGATCCACTTCGTACCTTTTCAGCATGCTCACATGAAATACATTGTGGATTTGGGATAGTTCTGGGGGCAATGCTAGCTTATAAGCCACTGGTCCATTCTGGAATACCAAACAGGAGCTTGATGTTCAGCCGTTTCCTTTTCATCAGGAGCTTGATGTTCAGCCTTAACTTTCTGAAATACCAAACATGTGAAAACATGTTCAGCTGTTTCCTTTTCATCCCAGGCCACCAAAAATATGATTTGATTGTGTGATACATTTTAATCGCTCCCGGGTGCATAGCATAAGCGGAAGAATGAGCTTCATCAAGGATCTCTTTCCTCAAATTGTCAACATTAGGAACACATGCTCTTCCATTCATCTTTCACATGCCATCTACCATTTCAAATGGGATTTCTTTTCCTTCCTCAATGTCTTGAATGATTTTTGCCAACTCTAGGTCTTCCTTATGCTTCTCACGAATTTTGTCGTGCAACAAAGGTCGAATGTTCAACCGAGCTAGTAACCCTGTTACACCATCTACTTCCAAATCAACATTCATTGCCCTCAAATAAACCAGGCCAGTTATATTCTTCTTGCCTTTTCTGCTCAGAGCATCAACAACTACATTAGCTTTACCAGGATGGTAATCAATTGTACAATCATAATTTTTTATAAGTTCAATCCATCTCCTCTGGCGACTATTTAAATCCTTTTGATCCATAATATACTTCAGGCTTTTATGATCAGTTAGCATTTTAAAAGTCTCACCATACAAATAATAATGGACAAGGCCCAATCTCATGTGGCCCAACTGCATTCTAGTCGAGAGCCCAGTAAGCCTAGGGCGGCATCTCACATGTGTGGGGTTTTTGATTGCCCCTGTAATGTAACCCTAGCTGATGATGACATAGGGTATAAAACAATGTACATGGCCATCGACCAGTTGCAATTCAATCAAATAAGAGTTTAGCCTAGAGAGCAAAGCTCTCCCGTGGACTAGTCCCGATCATCGGGGAAACCACGTAAATCGTTGTCTCGTGTTATTCGTTTCTCACTTTCTTCAAATAATGTCGCTAAATCTTGAGAGCAAATACCATCGCTGCCAACTCCAAATCATAAGTGGGATAATTTATTTCATAAGGACGCAATTGCCTAGAGGCATATGCGATAACTCTTCCATCTTGCATTAACACACAACCCAGTCCATGATATGAGGCATCACTATACACCACAAACTCGCCAAGGTTTGAAGGTAAAGCAAGTACTGGTGCTGTGGTCAATTTCTTTTTGACATGATTCATCCCAAACATACTTGATATTCTTCCTCAACAGTTTAGTCAATGGTGCAACAATTTTGGAAAATCCTTCTACAAACTGTCGATAGTAACCCACCATACCAAGAAAACTTCTCAACTCTGAAAAATCTTTTGGTGGAGCCCAACTTACCACTACTTCCACCTTTTTCGGATCCACCTCCGCTCCTCTTCCATATATTACATGTCCCAAAAACATTACCTCCTTCAGCCAAAACTCACATTTTGAGAATTTTGCATATAATTGTTTCTCCCTTATAATTTGCCACACAATTCTAAGGTGAGTTTTGTGCTCCTCTTTTGCTTTTAGAATAGATGAGAATATCATCTATGAACACAATCACAAACTTATCAAGATATTCATGAAAAACTCTGTTCATAAGAGCCATAAATACCGCTGGCGCATTAGTGAGTCCAAAAGCCATTACCAGGAACTCATAATGCCCATATCTTGTTCTAAAAGCTGTCTTTGAGGTTGCTCCATCTGCCACTTTCAGTTGATGGTATCAAGACCTCAAATCAATCTTAGAAAAGAGTGATGTACCCTGCAATTGATCAAACAATCATCTATTCTTGGGAGGGGATAACGATTCTTCACCGTCGCTTTATTCAACCTCTGGTAGTCAATACACATTCTCATGGAGCAATCTTTCTTCTTTTGACAAACTTGACAAACTGGAGCCTGTGTACCCAAGGAAACTGGTGCCTTGTATGATGTTCCCGACATAGATTGACTCGGTATTCTCCAAAAACTACTGGGACCTCTCCTAAGTGGGTAACAAGGTCCATCATAACTCACTCCAAACTTCCTCTTCTTCTCTTCTTCTTTGGCCTTGTGTTCCTCTCTACCCTCAGCTTCATAGGCTTCATACTTAAGTGTTGCCTTCTTGATTGTGGCCATGCTCTCTTCATCAACCCTGTGGATCTTTTCTTTCAACCCTAGGCGCAGACCATGCAAGTATCTCATCTTCTTCTTATGCTCAGTATCCGCCAACCCATCTTCAAAGTAGAGTAGTCAAACAAACTTGATGGTGTACTCAGTAACTGTCATGTTCTCATGCTTAAGGTTGGCGAATTCATTATTCTTTGCCGTGATAAAAGCTTCGGGAAGAAACTTTGTCTTAAAGGCCTTCAAGAACTCCTCCCAGGTGAATTGAACTTGTTGGCCATTAAATTTTGAGACTGAGGACCACCAGCTCCTCGCGTACTCCTTTAGGAGAAAAATAACATATTGTACTTTTTCCTCTGGGGTCGCATAAAGATACGCAAACACAACTTCCATCTCTCTCAACCACTCTACTACAACATCTGGACTTACATCTCCCTTGAAGGTCCTACCACCCAAACTCTTCATCATTGCGTAGGCTAATACTAGCGTCCTTGCATCACCCTCCTCCACTCCTCTCGACTGGTCAGTAGAAACATTTTCACAACTTTCGTGCGAGCTACAAGGAAATATTGGCCTTTGATTGATCCACACAAAATCCATTCTTAACCAAATCTATCACTTGGTTAAAACAAAATTTCCCCAATAATTATTTGGAAAATAAGTTCAAAACTCAATTTTGAAAACTATGATGTAACTAATGCCATCTAACATACAATACACATAATCATGTAAAACTCAATTCCCAGTTTAAGTCAATATGAGGTACTCCCCTCCTTAGAAGTATTTAACTTCCCATTGGGCATAGTACGTCATAACAACAAAAAGAGGGAACCAGGCTCTGATACCAAACTGTAACACCCTACCCTATACGTTTTGCCTGATCATATTGTTCACACAATTACAGCAGAGTTGAAAACTGGTGTTACATTAATTACCAAAAATCAACCAATAAAATTTCGACATGAATTACTCGCGTATTGGGCTAACAGTTCTTGCAACTAGACCTGCAAAATAATTCATCTGAATCCCTACATTTGTAGACATACATATATACACACAATCATATACATTGGCTTTCATAGCCATAGTCACACTTTCGTACTCTGTAACTACATACCATACTTATACATGTCATAATCGTCACTACATAGTACATACACCACCACACACATATACACATATAATCAACTTTCCACACCTGTGGATATCTCACACTACATCACAAGCTAGTATGCACATGAAAATGTTCTCAAAACATTTTTACAAAAAGGTGTGGATCACTGTCCAAAATCCCGAGTAGTAGTCCAAGCACATAATAGTTGAAGACCATACCTCATCTTGGCTTCAACTCTAGCTCCGTTCCCACCTAACACTTATCTACTAATGCTACTGATGATCTGCTTACACATGGCATAAGGAGATAAAACGATAAAAGAGGGTCAGCTCATGGTTGAGTGAGATAATAATTGCATCATGAGTTCATAACAAAGCATACCCCTAGCATACATCTAGCAAACAAGCCAAAGCACTAGGATCAGAACTCAGCCATCCGAGATCCCAGTAGGCAAAAGACTCAACCACATTGACTTATGCATATGCATCTTATCATGTCTTACTTATAGGCGCCTGGCTACTCCCATGCTAATTACTCTCCCGGGAAAACAGACCAAACATTTCATGGATGTGGTCATATCTGACCCACCACTGTTGGTGTAGTCATCGGACCTGACACCACTCTGGGTGTGGTCATACAGGACACCACTCTGGGTGTATACGTATCTCATGAAGGATCATCGGTTAACACCACATAAGGGGTGTGATATAACGTATCATAACAGAGTAATAGCGTGGGGAGCCCTAATTACTATGTACTTGACCATGAGACCAAAATACTCATACTTGGTATTCCTTATACATGATTCATAGGTAAAACAGGAGTAGCATAATTGCACTTCCTCGGGATGAACCCTCGTGCAAGTCATCTTCCTTAAACATCATAATATCACTGACTCACTTCTACTGTCACTCAAGGAATTGGCCAAGTGAAACCACTTCCTGAAGTGTAGTATAGCGGGTTTGGGTTTAAATGTCAACCCGGGTCCTAGATTTGATGGCTTCTCAGTGAATTCTTGTTATCTAGCAATGAAACTTTAATGCAAGTCTAAACTAACAAACTAACAAAGCAAGTAAACGGTTGTATTCAGGTTAAGAGAGGTCACCCGGATATGGTTCCCCCTAGACTGCAGTTAAGCCGGATTGTAATTACCAAGTTCAGTTTCTATGATAGTTATACTGCGGAAGGTTCTTAAGCAGTCTGAAGTCTCGACTAAAGGTCTTCAGACCCTCTCAATCTGAGTCTCTAGCGGGCGACTAACCTCCACCGGAGTAAACAGATTGAGGCCTTAACAAACATAACGTCCACTACCGGAGTGAATCCGGTACAGAATAGTGAGTTGGCTCCTTCAATCAAGGATGCTCTATCAACCTAGGCAGATATTCTCATTCTAGATTAAAGCAGAAACAACAGGAATTTGATCAGGATTCATGCCATTCAATCATTCAAACCTCAATTGAACATAATCAAATCATAGAATCAGTACTTGGGTTCATACAATCAAAGCCTAACATACAAATCTAGGGTTCTCCATACCCAGATGAATGGGAGAACTACTCCATGGAGAAAGAAGCAAAAGTAGAATCAGACGCGGAATTCATACTGTGAAGGATGGATTCCTGCTCCTGGATGTTGATCGGCACTTCCCCAAGCTCAAACTGGCCTCCAATGGTGATGAAGATCAAGCTAGGGCACTTGGAGACTCTTGTTCGTCGCTTTCTCTCTCTAGGAATCGCTTTGCCTCTCTAAAACTCGAATCCCCTTCTGTTTTGGCTGAAATCTGCTTAAAAGGGCATCAGTGGCCAAAGCACAGTCGAGGGCACGGCCGTGCTTTGCTTCAACCCGCCCGTGCTTTGGCTAGGGTTAATTACACGGCCACCTGTTGGGAGAAACACGGCCGTGCTTTTGGGAGGACACGGCCGTGCTATGGTGGACACGGCCGTGCTTTCAGCCCGTGTTTGCAGCTTAAATTTTCCAAACTCAATTAGCTCTCGGCAGTAAAAGCACGGCCACAGAACACGGCCGTGTTCTGCTTCAACCCGCCTGTGCTTTGGCTAGGGTTAATTACACGGCCACCTGTTGGGAGAAACACGGCCGTGCTTTTTGGAGGACACGGCCGTGCTATGGTGGACACGGCCGTGCTTTCAGCCCGTGTTTGCAGCTTGAATTTGCCAAACTCAATTAGCTCTCGGCAGTAAAAGCACGGCCACAGAACACGGCTGTGTTTTGTTTTAGGTGTGCCCGTGTTTTGGCTCCAGCTCGACGAAATGACTTCCGAATGCCCCGAAACTCGTGCTTAGCCTTTCCTTTGACACCTGGGACCTGAAATATGAAAAAATAGCACAACCCGGCGTAAAATAGGCCAAAAATACACGACTATGCCCCTCAAACGGATAAGAACTAGGGGTTCAAATACGTGCAATTACATCGTTATCAAATTCCCCCACACTTAACCGTTTGCTTGTCCCCAAGCAAACCTAACTCAAACCAATGCAACTCTCCAGACCTCTATAGCAACAAACAACCCAGATCGTAGGTAGAGGACTTCCTAGATCATTTAGCAGCTTACGAGGTCAACCGACGCACAAGTCATCTCATAGCTTCTTCGGCGAGAGCACTAGTATCGAGTCGACATCATGGCAAATAGTGAACAGAGGACAAATGAATCGTGGATGAAGAGATTCTAAAAAACAAAGGATCATGGACTCACATTTTTCAAGGTGCTCTATTTTCTTCTTGAAGATGGTTGAAACCCCTTTTCTTTCTGTTTTGCTTGTTTTCTGTTATTTTTTCTTTTCTCTTTTTTTTTCAAGGGTCCCAACCTGCTTTTCAGAAAATGGAGGCTCCCACCTAGCAGAGGTTTTGCGGGAGCCCGGCTCTTACCGGCCATGCCAGGAGCGGGTGTCTCGAGCCTCGTGCGGGGGGAAGACATGTTAGGGGGCTGGAGGTAGTAGGTGGAAATTGGGAACGAATTGTCGTCTCCCCTTACACACTTTCGCCCTATTCGCACGAGAGACGTTATTTTAAAGCACATTTTCGAGCACCTGTTAAACTCAAAACATGAAACAAGAGTCCATGACAGGTAGAGAGTCCACAACACCACACAATTCAAGGGTCCTAAGATCACTAATTCACTCAATCAACCAACACAATATGAAGAAAAAATGAGACTTCTTAAATGCATCAACATCCTCCATAGTGCTACACTACCTCCCTAGGTTGCATATTACTATAAAGACTGTCAATTCAAAGCATACTGAGCATGAAATTGCACGGAACACGTACTTGGAGCCCTCAAATTAAAAAATTTGGACAGTGGACTAGGCTCCAAGAACACAAACAGATCTAATGCAGTCAAAAGATAAACACCCCCCCACACTTAAGATCGACATTGCCCTCAATGGAGAAGAGGGAAGGAAAAGGGGAACAATGTTACCGGTATACACGGACTGCAGGAGACTGGAAGCGGACCAGTCGGAGTGAAGCGGACTGGAGAGAGGACCAGCCAAGACAAGCACAGCCAAAGGAAACCAAAGATCTCAAGCACAATATGTTAGGTACCAAGCACAATATGTTAGGTCCAATGGTCAGCCCAATAATACATCATTCAAAACAAAAGAAAACAAACCAAAACCAAATCGGTTTACAATCCGACATTAAACACAAGAAAGAAAGTCAAACCGTGGTGGGGTTTCCTCCCCACAAGCGCTTCTTTACTGTCTTTTTGCTGGACGCCCATGGTGGATACTCAGGGAGGTGCAGGAACAGGTGCCTCCAAGAGCGGATCCACGTCGCCATTGAGGTACAGCTTGAGGTTGTGGCCATGCACCCGACGGATGCGACCACCACCATCGGTCAGCTCGACCTGGCCATCCGGCAAGATGCAGGCGAGTGATTACCTGGACGGCCAGGGTGGTCGTGGTGCAGGAGGTGGGACCAGCTCATAGTGGTCTCCACACTTCTTCCGTGCAGGCTTAGCAACCTGCTGCTTCGGCCGCCACTCCTCCTTGAGCTTTTTGTTTGGAGGCGAGGCTGGATGGAGTGGCGGCGAAGGAATGATAGGAGGTTCCTGCAAAATAAGAGGTGCAGAAAGATACACGACATGCTCGTGTACCTGATCAGAAATGGCATGCACAGGTGGCATGCACAGGTGTGACAGCAATCATAGCACAGTGATCGAATTCAGTCACTGAAAAAGTAGCTTGTTCATTCCCAGCACGCAGGATCAGTTTACCATCATGCACATCAATAAGTGCCTTGGCGGTGGCCAGAAATGGTCTACCCAGAATCAAAGGCACATCCACATCCTCATGTATATCAAGAATAACAAAATCAACAGGATATGTGAATGCACCTACATTGACAAGCAGATCCTCTATGATTCCCCTAGGATGCACAATGGAACGATCAGCTAGCTGAATGCTCATCCTAGTAGGGCTAAGTTCACCTAGGTCTAGCTTTTTATACAACTTATATGGCATGACATTTATGCTAGCGCCTAGGTCCGCCAAGGACTTGCCTACATGCATGCTGCCGATAGTAAGAGGGATAGTAAAACTCCCTGGATCCTTGCGCTTTTCGGGCAGCTTGTTCTGCAGGATAGCAGAACACTCCTCACTGAGCATCACTGTCGAAAGATCCCCAAGTTTCTTCTTGTCGGTGAGGAGGTCTTTCATGAACTTGGCATACTTGGGCATCTTCGACAGTGCCTCCACGAACGGTATGCTGATGTTGAGCTGCTTCAACATTGCCATAAACTTGGCAAACTCAGTCTCCAGCTTGTCTTTGTGTAGGCGAGTGGGGAAGGGAGCTGGGGCACATGCTCCTTAACCACTGGTTGTGACTTGGGAGCAGGGGCTTCATTCTCCACCCGCACTTCTGCATCGTCGGCTGGAAATGCTGAAGCAGGTAGTGGTTCCTCCTGTCTGGCCGGGACAGGATCAACAGATATGGTCTTACCGCTCATGGTAAAAATGGCATCCAGCTGCTGATTCTGGTGAGGATCACGAGGATTCGGAATAGTGGTGGCAGACAGAGTCCCCGGTGCCCTGGTAGTGTTTTGGAGGGCCAAGATACCCACCTGGTGGTGCAGATCTTGCAAAATGGCACCTTGGTTCCTCTGACCTGCCTCCAGTGAGGCTACGCTCTGGTCCAACCTCGTGATAGTTGCCTGAGTGCTCGTCATGAATGAAGCTAGAATATTTTCCAGCTTTGTCATCCGGTCATCTGGGGCAAGGGCTGCTGCTGGCTCGGCAAACTGGCGCTGGGGCTGCTGGAATGGTTGCCCCTGCCTAGGCTGGTAGGGCTGCTGCTGTGGGGCTGGCCCTTGTCGAGCCTGGAAGGGCTGCCTCTGCTGAAAACCACCAGCTGGTGCTGGGAAACCAGGTGGTTTAGTGGTGTTGCTGCTCCGGGCGAAATTGGGATGCTGGCGCCAACCCTCATTATATGTGTTGCTGTACGGGTCGAGGCGCCGAGCATTGGCGATGAAGTCTAATTGCTCTTGGGGAGTAGTAGACTCCCTCGTAGCCTGGCAGTCTTCCACTAGGTGATTTGAGCTCTCACACCACTGACATTGAGCTACTGGAGGTGTAGCCAAACCTCTGCCCGGAATAAGACTGTTGGGTTGCTTCAATGTCTGCACCAGCTCAGCTACCTGTTGCTCGAGCCCGGATCTGGTATCCATGGCGTGCACACCACGATCCCGGGAATGTCTGCCTCTGCTGCTCTGCCCCCAAGAATGATCTCTGGCAGCCAAGATATTGATCATCTGGTTCAGCTCGGGTGGAGTCTTCGTAAGAATATCCCCTCCTGGGCATAGAGACTCAATCACCCTCTGACTATCTGGAGAGAGGGCACTATAGAAGTTCCCCACTGTGAATGCATCACTGAAGCCATGATGGGGACACTGCCAGAAATATCCCATGTACCGCTCCCATGCATCACGAAGTGACTCATTTGGCTCTTGGCGGAAGTGAGTGATCTCTCGCTGGATCTCTGTAGTCTTCGATGCCGGATAGTACCTGTGCACGAATTTGTCAGCCAGATCGTCCCAAGAGGTGATGGACAATGGGGGCTGGGTCTCCAACCACCTCTTAGCATTCCCCGCCAGAGAATGGGGGGAAAAGGTGAAGGCGGATTGCATCATCGGGGACACCATTCAGCTTGAACCCGTTCGTCAGCTGTTGAAAACGGGAAAGATGTACCCTGGCCTCCTCATCCTTCAAACCATGGAACTGGATAGAGGATGTAATGAGCTGAATCCAGCATGGCTTGATCTCGAAGTTGTTTGCTGGAATAGGCGA